ACCTGCGTCAACATCGCCAGGGCTTCGGCCCGGATCTCTCCCCGACGGACGCGCCCGTCGCGCGCCGTATCCCGCGGCTCCAGGCACCGCCGACCTTTCTTCGATCCCGCGCGGCCGGCCTCGCTCGGGACACTGAAGAGCCCCGTGCTCCACCGCGCCCAGTCGAATGCCCCAACACGTGCTGTTGGGCCCGCTGACCGACGCCGGTCCGGTGCACCCAGTCTCCGGCAACACCCGCAGCAAAAGCGACGTTCGCAAGCGGCGCATGGCACCTCGTCCTCGGCAGCCTGCCCCGCCAGGCGTCGGCTCCGGGGGGCGCGGCCCCCTTCCCGGCCCGAATGGCCCTCGTGGCGGCCAGCGCCGGTCGCGTCGCGCGACGCTCCGTCGCGGCGGCCCGCGACGCCGCTGGCCCCTCCCCAGAATCCCCTTCCACGATCTCTTCCGTCTCGATCGATCCCCGCGGACTCCGTCTGGAGGGTCCGGCTCCTCGGCCTCGGGCCCAGGGTCGGAGCCCACTCGGTCTCCGCCTGCGCGTCGCTCGCGTGCTGCCGTGCGTCTCGGATGAGATGTCCGCCCGCTCGCGCCAGCCAAATCTCCCCGGCCGCGGCCTCTTCCAGCAGCTTCGACAGCAACGTCTTCGCCAACCCCTTCGGCAGAATAGTCCGCGGGTCGTCGCCCGCAGTCTTCTCCTCGTGGGAAGCGCCCTTCTTTCCCTGAAACACGTGCCGCAAATGGCCAGCGGTCTCCACTTCCGCTCGATCCCAGCACCGTCGCAGCTCCTGCGTGGCCAGCGTCGCCAGCTCGGCCGCGCGCATCTGCCAGATGCTCCGAGGGCGGCCTTCCTCGGCCGGAGGGCCCCCACCTCCTTTTCCAGGAGCGCCGCCGGGAACTCCTGAAATGCCAGTTGCAGAGACAGCCAGCCCCCTTCGCGCTGCCCCGGCGCGACACTGCGCGACCGTCGGGCGCCATGTCGGCGCCCGCTCGCGCGCGAGCGCCCTTGCCGCCCACGATCTCACCAGCTCGCTGCCGCGGGGGTCCTGAGCCGAGAAGGCCGCGGTCGCCGCCGTCGCCGCGGCCTCGTCTCGCTCGCCCCCCGCAATCCCGTCTTGCTCGTCGTCGTTCGGCCGCCCGCCGTTGTGGGGGGCACGGCGCGCGCACTGTGGTGACGGGCCGCGCCCGTAGACAGCGATCTCGGCACCGCCCAAGCATTGGCCCGCAGCTCCGCCAACCCCCGCGCCAGGCCCCGTCGGCCCGCCGTCGAAGGCAGACGTCGGCATGTGCCCCGAGCTCATCTCCTTGAGCGGCAATCGGCTCCTGCCGACAGCGCCCAGGGTGACCTCGCCCTCTTGGGCGCGGGCGCGCGCCTCCAGCTCCTTCAGGGCACCGCCCAAGATCAGCGGAGGCACATCCGCGCCCGCAAGGCCGAAACGGACCGCGAAGCCCTTGCCGCCCCATTCCATTGGCACCAGCACCGTCGCGCGGCCGTAAATCGCGCTGCCTGGACCGAACCGATAGGACTCGCGCTCTTCGCGACAGTGAGCTCATGCGCCCGCGTCTTCTCGACGCGCGTCGACAGCCGCGCGCGCCGCGAGTCCCGCCGCGGACTTGGCGCGCGCCGCGCCCACCGCGATCGCAACCGCAGCTCGCCGCCGGTCTCGGCAATCAGCGCGCCCCGAAGGTCAGCGACCGCGTGCGCCTCCTCTGGCGTCGGCCCCGCCTCGCCGGCGGGCTGGCCTACTGCGGCGGCCGCCGGCCTTCCCCCGCCAGTCCTTGCCAGGGGCCATCGGGCATCCCGGGCAGCCCCTCAAATGGCCTGGCCGCCCGCGGCGCTTGCGCGGAAGAGTTTGCTCGGGCCTCTCGATTCGCTCGGCGTTCGCGCCGCCGCCGCCCGTCGCGCCGCCGCTGCGGAAGCCGCGCGCCCTCTCCGCCTCTGCGCGAGCCTTCTTCGCCTGAGTCACCATCGCCGCGTTGTCCGTCAGGAAGGCCGACAACTCATCGAGAACGCTTCCGTGCTCGACCGCTTTCTCCGCTCCCGGATCGCCCTCGGAGTCCATCTCCTCGTCGTGCTCTGCGTCGTCGGGCCATTCGCCGTCGTCGTCAGCGGCTTCGCCCAGGTCGCACTCCTGGCCGCCGCGCGCCGCGTGCGCGGGGGGGCCCCCGCCGCGGCCGGCGGTCCGCCCTGGCCTTCGAAGGCCCCGGTTCAGGCGCCCTCGGCGCGCGCGCGCCGCCTCCACCGCCCGCGCTTGGCGGCAGAGTCGGCGTCTTTAGCGGCGTCGACGCGCGGGGCAGGCATGCTTTGGCGGAGGCCCGCAGCTATATGCCAGCTCGTTGCCGGCACCCGCGATGATCTGGCTTTCTTTGTCGCCCCCCACTCGCTGCAACTTATTCGAGAAGTAGTGGGCCTGTAGGTGCTTGTTGACAGGCTCGTCCATGGCCCCCTCCAACTCGCGGATCTACGTCTCGTGGCGCGTCTCGAAGTCCAGCGCCCCTCGCCGACGATGCGCGCGGACTCCTCCGCGAACTCGCCCGCCAGCGCGCCGACCTTCAAGTCTCCCGCTGTTCGCGCTTGCTGCGCGGGTAGCGCGAGAGCACCTGGGCGCCGCCGGGTACCGCAAGGGCCTCGGGGTCGAGATTTTCCGTTTTCGCCCTGGCCCCCCCCTTGGCCTGGAGAGCAGCCGGCCGCCCCGACGCTGTGGCGGGATCGCGGTGTTCAGCTCGAAGGTCTTTACCCGGCGCTCGCAGGTGCGGAGTGGCACAAACTTCCCGCCCCACTCTGGGACATACTTCTCGTTTCCCCGGTCGCTAATATCGCCGTCTCCGGCGGCGCCGCCGACTGCTCGCCAGCCGCCCCAGCTCAAGCCTCCGACCGTTCGCTGGACGTCCGACCCCGACCCTGGTCAGCCCCGGTCCCCGCCGCCCACGCCCACCCGCGCCAAGCGGGCGTCGCGCTGGGCACCGGCCTGAGGGGGGCCCAGCGTCTCTGCTCCTCGGATCAGGGAATTCCCCACTCACGCCAAGGAAGTCCGTGAGTGCCCCAGTCACTCCACGAATCCCATCCGCCGTAGTCACGCTGCACCTCGGCCGCAGAGCCCCCCCGTGCCGCGGTTTCTTTTTCCCGGCACGCTCCGCGGCGGCCTCGTGCCGCGATCGGTCCGCGTTCCATCCTCGGCCGATCGGAATCGGTAATCCTCATCTGAGCCGCCGCCCCGGGGACTGCCCCCCGCGTCAGCGCGCGGTGCCAGGAATCGTGACGCTGCCGCCCACGCGTTCATGTCTCTCACTGAAAACAGAGTGTTGGTGTTCCACTGCGGTCGGCCTCGCTGAGGCTCTTCCGCCGCGACTCTCGCGACGGCACCTCGTGCCGTGGATTGGGCCCGCTCGACAATAGCTCCGCTACCCATGCCGATGTGGGGAGCTTTTTCACAACAGGCGGTCGTGCCCCGCTGCGGGCAGGTCAAAAATGGCCAAGCCCTCCCTCCGCCCTGGCGTTCGGGAGGAGGGCTTGTGCGAGAAAGCGGCGTCGGGAGGGGAAGCTGGTGGATGTGACAGCAGTGATCTTCAACAACAGCGATGAAATGTGTCATCCCTCGACGCTGTTCAATCCTGAATATCTGAGCGATATCCTAAACGTCCAGTACCGGAACCGATAGGGGCAGCGGTGCAGAGAGGTAAGAATAGAAAGAGGAGAGGATTCACACAGAGGATGGTGGGGGGGAGATCGACCCCCAACTTGGATAGGATGGTTTGGATTCATATTTAGAACGAACGATGGGGCAGAATAGTTCCACATCCCAGGATATACCGATACACATGGCCTCGGGGTGGTGGTGGGTCCTGATTCGTTTCTGGGACGGACGCTACACGCCTTGCACTCTGTGCGGTACACTCAACGCGGGGCGGTTAACCGCCACACCGCCATCCAGGCCCAGACGACGGGCGGCGACGGAACGGCGACGGAACGGCGGAGTCAAATCGGTCAGGAGGGCGGCCGAACGGCCCAGCGGCCCCGCGAGAGCCCGACGAGGACCTACCACACGCCCGAAGACGACCCAAAAAAGACTCCTTAAGAGGCATTCGAAACGCAAGAAAGCAGTGATCTCACATGTGTTTTTGTAAGATGTGGGGCATGCTCTGTTCTTCGGTCTGCCGGGTGTCCAGAACCGCCCCAGAGGCTAGAACATCGCCCCAAAACTACCAAAAGGGCTTCCAGCAAGCAGTCCAAGAGAGTCCTAAAGACGGCCTAACAAGGTAACATGGCCCAAAGATTGACCGAATGAGCCCCATGACGGCCCAAGATGGCCCCACGACGCCCGCCGAAGAATTCCAAATCGTGACCCAGTCGTTCAAGGAGGTCTTCGTTTCACTTCGACACCACACCCCAACTTCCGATGTTCTGACTGTGGAGGGGAAGATTGAAGATGCAAGGTGGGGAGGAGGACGGAGGAGGAATATGTGCAGCAGGAGCGACAAACAGGTTGGGAGATGAAGGAGGAGGCACAGGAGGTGGAGGACGGATGAAAGAGAAACAGAGCACGATGAGGAGGACTGATGAAAGAGAAACAAAGGCCGTGCCGTAGAACCCCCAGAACAGGGAGACCCCAAGACCCCCTTCAAACTCTCAACCCCCCCTGACCCTCATCCTTCCTGATCCCTCCTTCCTTCACCCGCACTCTCCTGCGAATTCTTCTCTGTTTCTGAGAATACAGAATTCAATCGAAGCCCGTCCGCGAAAGCCCGAGCTCCTCCTCTTCCTCGTGCTCTTCCTCAACGTCCTCCTCCTCCTCTCCTCCTCCTCCTCCTCCTCCGCCTCTTCCTCCTTATTCTCGCTCCATTCCTCGCTCCCGCCTTTCACCTTCTCCCCCCCCTCCTTCCCCTGCCAACACCTCCCCCCCGCTCCCCCACCCACTCCCCGCCCAACTCTCCCCCCCCTCCCCGCCCTCCGCGGCACAGGCCGCCCCCCACCCCGCCACCCCGCGCGTGGCGGCCGCTGCCCCCCGCGCCTCGCGCGTGCGGTGCAGCAGCGTCTGCAGCTCCACCCGGGAGCCCGAGCCGCAGGCCGGCGGCCACGGGGCGGCGCCCGCGCGGCACGGGGTGGCGGCGACCTCGGCCGAGAGGGGGGACACAGCAGGAGCTCGACCACAAGAAACCGGCCACAAGAAACCCAACCCTGAGACCCCAGGGACGTCCACTGACTCTGCTTTTTTGTTGTTTATTCTCGTCGGCGGGCAAGGAGGCGCGCGGATGGTCTGCGCATGTGGTGGTTCGCGGGTCCGGAGTCTGCGCTTGATGTGACAGGCGGATTCCAGCATGCGGCCTCTCGGCCACGCGCTGCAGACAAGAACAGTCACGGAACTCCTCCAGGTTCCCGTTCGCTTCTTGTGGCGGTGGACGGCAGGGAAGTTTTGCGAGGACTGCCGCGCCTGTGATTGCCTGATTTGAATTCCCCGTAGGGTAACGACGGGACTTGAGCCGAGCGCCGCCAGTCTGGGGCTACCTGATCTGAGGGCTAGGACGGGGCATGAGCTGAGCGAAGGTGGGGCAAGTGACGCTGTCTGGAAAAGCCAGTGACGAGCTGGTGACAGCGTCGGCGATCGAGAGACAGGCCATTTCAGAGGTCATGCTTGCATGTCATTATGCAGGCAGTGCCCCTTCAAGGCTCAGCGACGGGCTGCAAGACCGAGCGCGGCAGCAAGGGCGAACGCCCACGCCGTCCGAACCGCGGAGCGGGGTGTCGCGTAGCTCGTCGTGTCCCCGTCGGCCATGGTGGTCTCCGTCAGGCGGCGCTCGTCAGCCATGGTGGTGGACTCGTCCACCGCGGCCCCAGCCGCTTGCCGACGCAAAGGAACGCGAGGAGCGCCAGGAGCATGGTGCTGGTGCCGAGGCCGCCGCTACGAGCCGCAGCGCTCGTGATGTCGGGAGGGTTGCTGTTGTCAACGGTGGTGTCCGTCAGGCGGCGCTCCTCCACCATTACCCGTCCAACGCGGCCCCAGCCGCGTTGCCCACGCACGTGAACGCGAGGAGCGCCAAAAGCATGGCGCCGAAACTGCCGCTACGAGCTGCAACGATTGTGACGTCGGGGGGGTTGCCGTCGTCCACGGTGGTGTCCGTCAAACGGCGCTCCTCCACCATGGTGATGCACCCGTCCACCGCGGCCCCAGCCGCGTTGCCCATGCAAAAGAACGCGAGGAGCGCCAAGAGCATGGCGCCGAGGCCGCCGCTACGAGCCGCAACGTTTGTGACGTCGGGGGGGTGCCGTCGTCTATGTTGGTGGTGTCGGTGTCACCGTTGGCTATGCAGCCGCGGTCGGCGGATAGGACGGCGAATGCTGTAAGCAGCATGCGGTTCATCGCGGCAAGAAGGGAACAATAGAGGCCAATAATGTGCAGCAGACGCCCGGTGTGCCAAAAACCTTGAGCCGAGATGACTTGAGCGCTACGGAAGGACTCCAGGACGTCCACTGACTTTTGGTGCGGGAGCGTCACGCTTTCCACAACAAAACCATTGAAACCTAAGAGACCCAGGGCACCCAGGAGGCAAGCAGGGTGTTTCTTGGCATGGGTCTCCACTGTAGGGGAGGGGGGGGTACAGGCAGCCGACGGCCGACGTTCGACCTTCAGCGCTCGGCCTGAGGATCCAGGATAAGGACGCTGGCCGTGGCTTCGAGGGCGCCCCAGGGAGGCCAAAAGACGTCCTCGAACCTCTATTCTCGAACCTCTCGGAACGCGCGAACGAGGGGGGACAGTAAAGGGGGGTGGGTAGCGAGTCAGCTGCATGCAGCTCAGCTGGTTCTCCCCGCGCCCGTCAGCGCTCGAGGCGCGTCGTCGGTGACGAGGACTCGAAGAGGGAGGGGCGCGACCTCGCGAGCTTCCAGGGCATGCCTGAGAGCTGCCTAGGCTCTGTGCGCGAGCCAAGGAACCGCTCTCTAGAAGCTTGCGCTGCCCTGTGTAGGACCTGCCGGCGAGCTGGTCGCAACGTAAGAAAGGCTGCCAAAGAGCTCCGGAAACTTTTGCAGCGCATGATGTAACCTCAGAAGGTCTTTAATCCTGCCAGGCCCCCCATCCGAAATCCAAAACTCTGTGCTGGCAGTGAAACCTGCGTGCCCCCCGGTTCGCTCTATCCTTGTCCTTGTCCTCGTCCTCCCCTTTCTGCCGCTGCTCCTCCTTCTTCTCCTCCCCTGCTCCTCTTCCTCTGCTCGCGCTTGGTAGGCGTAGCACGGGTAGACGTAGTACTATCGGTGGACATGGTGCACTTGGCAATCGACAAAGGGCGTCCGGGATCATTTTCCCACTACATCTCGCCGTACTGGAATTTCTTGTGTGGCTGTTTCTCGAGGCTGATAACATGCACTGGGCTACCTGCGCAAGAAAGACTTGTAGTACGAGTCCATGCGCTTCCCCTCGAGTCGTCTCGTCGTAGTCCCAGCATTGGTCGTAGGAGTATTCTTCTTTGCAGTAGAAGGACGACAACGGCGACGGTGCCAACGGCGACAACGACCACAACGACGACGACGACGACGAAGGCGACGGCGACGGAGACGACGACGGCGGAATACTTGTTTGCCGGATATGGTTGGGTGTCGCCAGCCCTCAATTCGGCCCCGAGCAAAAATATGTGCTCAGTACTGGTGGGTATCGAATACCTATCGCGTGTATCGGGAATGGCCAGGGGAGCGCTTGCGGGATACGCTGCAACCTCCAGCAAGGCGTTGCGAGACTCTGTGGTTGGCAATCGTTGAACTGCAACTGGCTAGCCCATTCAGCTCTAAATGCTTTACGAGGTACAATGGCGTAGCCCCGTCAAGCGAGCTTGCGGCGCCTCTGGCCAGCTGTTGTCGTAATCCCCCCCTTTCCCTATCCCCCCTTCGGCTGACCCAAACCTTAATCCTGTAGCCTCGATCCCTCTCTTCACAAGACGTCTGGTGCTTCGATTGCTTCGATGTGCGGGCCGCCACATCCCTCGACCCCTTCCCTCATGGAAATGTGTTCACTCCAACCCGTTACAGTTCTAAACCCAGCCTCAGAATCAAGAATATCAGCGGAGAAACAGGGACCACCGCCAACGAGATCGGAACGAGACTCAGGCGTGCCACCGTCCAAGGGTCGCCCCCCGCCCCCCCGTTGGATTCTGGGTGGCGGAGGGATCTGTTTCTCCTCTTAGAATTTGAACCACCAGGGCGCCGTGATTCTTTTATGAGCCCAGGGTGTCAGGTGGACCGTCCTCCTCCTGTCCCCCTCGAGTGCGCCGAGTTTCCTCCTCCGCGGCGAAAGTCGCCAGAACAGATCGAAAGCATCGTCGAAGGCAGTTGCAGACGACCACGGCGTCGAACGCACGGCCGCAACCCGCTCATAATCGGTCCCACGGGCCCCTCCCAGGGTCCATCCTTGTCAGCTTTTCACCCCGAATGACTCTTTGGACGGCCTCGTGAAACGAAACGGGCCTTCAGAGGGCGACAATCCAGAACATCGTCGAAAGATGGACGCCTTCCACTCCACGATCAATGCTAAACGCAGTCGCAAGGGCATCCGGCCACAGCAGGCACTATCGCTTGAGAAACTTAGGTGCATGGCCGCTGATGCAGCAAGTGGTCGCCGTGCAACTTGCCAGCCCTCCACTGCTCGTCACACAAAGAGAGCGAGAGAGGAGGAGGAGGAGGAGGGGGAGGAGGAGGGGGACGACAGGTGCAAGTCATCCAGCAGGACCTGATTACCGACGACAGAATCGACAGGTACGTTTACGTCCCCCTTCACCTTGGCAACGAATACATCCCAGTACCTCCTGAGAAAGGCTGGGCGAAAACCAAAAAGGGAAACACACATCAAGATTGCGCATCTACCTGACATGAATACGGGATAACCCCTCTTACTGCGACAACGACTACAAAGAACTCTCGACGGATGGAAGTACTACTGTTCTCACACCGACGGCGAGAAACACTGGGCACAGAGACCAACCCACATCCCCATCTCCATAGAAAAGCCGACTACCGATCCGACAAGAAGCCATTCGACGACAACGAATACCCTCCACACAACGTCCGACACGCACCACTTATTCACGTGTCGTGGGAAGAACTCAAGGACGACATCGACAACAACATAGTGCGTTCCAGACTCGCCTACTACAATGAGGACGGCACGGAGAAGAGGCTCGAACAAGATCTGCTACCAACAAAGCGACAAGACGTACGATTTCCAGATAGACGAGGACTACGGCATCCACACCAAATTCAAGCACCACGAACCACGCTACGAACGAACCACTATGGTCGACTCAAACCACAACGTTAATGTTGGTTCAGAAATAGTCTCGCTCACCAACTACCTAACAGACTCACTCCACACCTCAAGTGCCTCGACCCTGCACCCACCGCGGGCGCTACATGCATCGCATACAAGCACAGAAAGAACATACCACCACTAGTCTCCTACCAGCAACCTGGTTACGTGGAGCTAGAGGAGACAACGCTCTATGAGTGCGAGCTACTCAACCAACGGACTGGCACAGCAGAAGTCAAACCAGACCACCGCCAAGGACCAACCACCAACCCACTACGAGCTAACAACAACAACAACAACAACAACAACAACAACAACACCAACACCAACAACAACAACAACAACAACAACAACAACAACAATCATTGAAGACTGGGGACACTCCGTTCTCACCAGTGCCCGGGTTTTCACAGGAGGCGGGCAATACCCCCACTTTGTGGGGGGGCCGGTTCAAGCTCTACCAAGTTTCCAAACGACTCTTCGCCACCACCCACACCCAGCTTCCCGCCCTATGACGTTCGGACACTTCACTTCGTGGCCTGCGGACGACCTTGGCTACTACACTGGCGCATGGGTACAGTGACTTGTTGTGGTAACAGTTTGTGGAAGCTAGCTTAGTATACGCCTTTTCCCCCTGTTCCAACACTGGACACCTGTACCGTTTTCCGACGTTTTCCGACGTTTTTCCGTTTCTGTACCACACAAGCGAAGACACTTATTTTGAGTGGTACCACGTGCGTGGCGCCAGCATACCACAGGACTTGTTTCCGTTGTTGTGAGAACCTACGGTGCGATTCGTATGATTTTATGTTGCGCGGTGCTAAAAT